AAAATATCCTAGCTGGAAGCCGATTGCAGCTATTTTTGGTGGTCCTATGGTTTTCTGATCAATTCACCACCACGTTTTTCATAGTCTTAGTTTCAGATGCATCATAAAAACCAGTGTTACGCGTTACAAATGCAAGTTTTTGATCAATTCGAAATGAGAAATATCTGGCATTCAGATTGGTGGCGACTTATTTTGTCGATTTGTATCTATTTCACCATGTTGATCCGTTTTCCACTTCTAACTAATGTTGTTGTGAGCACATATGTCATGTTATCGGTGACTGCAATTTTTTAGTGGATTTCATCAAACCTTGTACCAGTGCAAATCCTAAAGAACAAATGAGCCCTGTTCTTTGAGTCTTACCGGAAGTGGCCGTTTTTCTCTCTGTCGATCTGTCCAGAAATTAGACTCCTCCAATTAGTGCATTCCAATCTGACAAACCCGATGAGCTCATTGTGAGAGTTCAAATACAACTTATTTTTGTGCACAGGTGGGTAAACAATGAAGGATGAATTCGCTCAGCTCCAAAGTAACCAGCGTTGCTGGATATGAAATCCTATTTTTCAGACAAAATCAGTAAATTCATCGACGCAGATGGAGTAAGGTGAGGGGATACACATTCGGTGCCAAAACCTACGGTGTTATTAGTCATAGAGCCATAGAATTCGAAGAGCGCAAACGAATCGTGAGTTTAACTCCTAAGCAAAATGGGGAATGTGACGTTGTTGGGTAAATGGAGTCACATAGATAGTAAGCAGTTAGTGAATCAGGGATCACCAGCGTGTGACTGGTGACTGCGCTGCCGTTGTAAAGATTATCGGTTTGAATTAATGTAGAATTAAATGATACTACACTATGACACAAAATCGTAAACCACTTGGGGGGCTCTCAACAAAGGAGCCCCGAATTTAGGACTCATGTCTTAAGCGGTCCGATCCGTCATTATTCTCATGGGCCACCACAGATGGCGAAGCACTCCATTTCAATTCCCCGGATTTGAGAAGAAACCACCGCCTATCCGTACAGTTCTTTCAGCGGTTGCTCTCCTGATTTCTAGCGCCATTTTGGAATTTCCCATGCGAACTCCAGCGTCACCACCCCCTGTCTCGTAACTGAAAAAATATCCGAAACACACATTTGTGTGAGTTTTTTTTGGTTTTCTACTTGATTTATAATATTGGTACTAAAACATTGTGAGTCGACTGACAGCAATTATGTATAAATCTCTATATTAACGAAAATTTTGTTCGTGGAATATTGTCGCTGCCTTTATTGCAGATCTTCCGTATCCTAACAGCATTTGACGTGAAATGTGGGAATCGGGCAGTCTTCCTACACCATACGTTTGATCTAAAACGACAAGAGTTTGGAGTAGATGATGCTTTGTGGAAACTATGAGCGCGTCGTTTGAAGATAAAGATAATCCTTTCAAAACGAAAATGAAAAAATGAAAAATCGGTTACTGAAACGCTAACCACCATCTGACATTCAGTTGATGTTTTGAAATAGAGGCTTTTGCGGATATAATGAGTGCCAAAATAAAAAAACAGCTCAGCCTGGAAAGTCAATGAGCATTTGACGTGAAATGTGGGAATCGGGCAGTCTTCCTACACCATACGTTTGATCTAAAACGACAAGAGTTTGGAGTAGATGATGCTTTGTGGAAACTATGAGCGCGTCGTTTGAAGATAAAGATAATCCTTTCAAAACGAAAATGAAAAAATGAAAAATCGGTTACTGAAACGCTAACCACCATCTGACATTCAGTTGATGTTTTGAAATAGAGGCTTTTGCGGATATAATGAGTGCCAAAATAAAAAAACAGCTCAGCCTGGGAAAGTCAATGCCCTACGATCTATGTTTTATTAATAGGACGTTTGTTTGCGCTGTTGGCTGCCGAGCCGATAAATACTTGGATGAAACCGACAAACAAGTCCCAAAAATATACTTTCCTTTTCGCATCCATACAGCTTGTGGGATAATGTTCCACTCTTAGCACCCATATATGAAAATTGGTCAATAAAATAATCGATCCGTGTACATATTTTATGCTTGTTATTTTGATGGCAAACATTTGTCAATACTGTCCTCCGCTCCTTCAGCAAAAGGCTGACAAGAGAATTCAATTTTGAGTCGCATCTTCGCGAATCGAACCAAATACGTGTAGAGTGAGAGCGATCAACCGAGAGTTCTGCTCTTTGCGCATTGTGTGATTCCAACCAGATCGGCTTTAAGTTCTTTTGGTTTTCAGGTCTCCTTTCTTACCATTTGGAAACGTGGTTATTACATTCAGGAGTGAGCAAGGATATAACAACCAGAAGCTACCAGGCCACTAAGCAGCTCCTCTGAGATCCCAGTTTTTCGCAAAATTAAAAATATTATGCTGCCAGAGCTAAGCAAGTAAACAAAGCCAATCGTAGTTCCAACGAACGAAGCAACCGGTACACTAGATTTCACCTCAGGAAAAAATCATTGCAAAAAACTGGTCCTCACCTTGCATTATTTTCAAGGTATTTGTGCCAACTAATATGTTGGTCCAACGTGACCGCATACCTGACATACTAATTTATATCCAGCCCGTGTAGTATCTGCACATGACTGACATTTACAGTTATTTTTCTGATTCGGTTTGATGTTAAACCAGCAGATTTGAAGTATCTGTTCGTTACTTCTGCGGTTTATGAGAAACAACGGAGCAAGAGGCAAAATTTGTCTTATGTGGTTGGATATATTTGCTTAGTACTTATAAAATTCTAGAATGCCAGTCAGAAATCGCATACATGATCAGGTTCGTCCACAGATACGCGTGTAAAGGGGAGGAATGGCACATGGGTCAATGAATCACTGAGTCAAATCGATACCCAGTGATCACATTACGTTATGGAAATGGGCTAGATCAGTGGTGTATACAGAGGCGTGGGTCCCCGCCATCCGCAACAACCGGACCAGTAGCGTTCCTCAGCGCTTCAAATACACGGCGTGATGCTTGAGTGGTTTGTGGATTATTATCAGGAAAATATGTGGTAAGTTCGTCAGGTCCGCCTTCTGAGTTGATTGTTCTCGTGACTACTGCGGATGCCACCGTTCACCAGAAACATTCACTTCAGCTCACTATTGTGACTGTCACAGATTTGGCAAACTGAGCATCCTCTCAGCCACCACAGTTTTGGTCAAAGAAGACTTTTTTATTGTTGATCGAAATTGACACTTCACCATACTGAATTGCTGTGTAGAAATATACGGAATAAGAACAAGCTATTGCAGACGGAATCACGAGCGAAAAAAATGTCAAACGCAGTTATAGATTTTACCCAGCCCAGCCCAAATGCGATCACTTGCCGAAAACGAACTATGGTTACCATTCTACATTTCTTGCTAACGATAAGTGTGTAGGGTTCACGGCCATTATCTGTCATCGAAATGCTCATTTCACCTCATTCAGTCATACGATTCCAACTGGTCACGGTTAACTACCGAAAAGCGAACTAACAACTGGATCAGTTGTATATCCATTATCATCCGTTTCCTAAATCACTCTCGTGCTGTAACTTTCAAAACCCAAACCCTGTAGGCAGTTCCAAATTTTTACAGTCTTTGGTTTACTGGCTTCCACAGCCAGTTGGCAGACTACGTGGAGATTGCAGGGTAGCTCTGCAGTTTAAACACAAGTTTTGAAGTATAACCAAACCATGTTGCTGGTAATTGTAAACTGGGATGGACTCTCATCACAGCTGTGTAGTCTGAAGCTCGGAAACATTATACCCTATAAAATGAAGACCACTGTAATGGTGATACTACTGATGGGGGAGGCATGCGAGTAGTATGTTTTCTCGTAAATCCGCTTTGAGTTTGTTTAAAAGTGACACCTATTACCGAATTTGTGAGCTCACTTTGTAGCATTTGCTTGGATTTGAGGAACAATCAATGAATATTCAGAAAAGTTTAAAAAGACGCGCTCAAGGAGGAGATGGATATTCAGATTGTAAACAAGTGGCATATGAGAGTTTTGCTCACCTGTCCCATAGTCTGTAACCGTTCAGTCAGCATTTTCTAATAACTCCGCAGCGAATGCCTTCTTCCTTTCACCAGTATCCAACCTACCATCTGGGCATTGTTCGGTTTCCTTAATGTTACAGCAAGAAAGAAAGAGCCGATATCACGTCACAGAGATTTTCAGCTTCCCAGTAAATCGGGCATCTTGAGTCCAAATTAAAGCTTATTTAGAAATTCCAAATGATGTTAATTCCGTTCAACGCAAAAGCGGAATATCTAGAGACCCACAGAATCAACAAGATAAATAAGTCTCAACGCCACTTGCATGTATGCGTAGGATAGCCGAAATGCATTTGTGCCATTCCATTGTTATCTTCGACCGCCATCTTGTGCCAAGAAAACTGTCGCTCGTATAGGGGATAATATGATATGATATCCGAACTAAAATGCGCGTGTGCAATAGCGATAAGCCAAATATAACCAAGAGATTTTTGTGTGCTCAGGAGCAGTTTTTTAGCACTTGGAACAAACAAAAAACGCCAAAGGCCATTTCTCCAACCGACTCAGTAGCCACTGTGGGAAGAGACTAATTGCAATTTTGTAAAACTATGTATACTGCTTTGCACAATTCAGGTTAAATCTAAGGATAAACCAAGCAAATTGTGTGTTTGACCGTAAATAAAATTACGAATGCGGAATAAAAATTACTGATGATGTATGTAGAAACGTAAATAAGTCGGATTTAGTAATGCCCATAAGTGGTTTTGCTGACAACAGGACCAGATGAATATTCGTCATACAGCACAAGGTAGACCCAATATCCTCCCTTATCAACTAGGTTTAAAGAAGATTCTCCCTCTAAAGAGACCCCCGGCGGGGTGGATTTACCGTGGGTCAACGGCTCTTACTTGCATGGCATATCAACCACTAGGGACGGTTATTTAAGGTAGAGATGGTTTAAATTTTTTCAGCTCACTAAGTAGCCGCTGATATTAACTTTGCTGGAATTATTCAGAAAACCGCAGATATTCGTGTGCAAATATATATATATCATCCAGCTGTAGCGCGCTTTCGGTGCCTAGCTGCCACGCCACACGAAGGAGACACGAGGACTTGGATAATGCCAGGTTGCCCGAGCCTAGACGGGAGAATTCGAGCTCGAACAATGGACCTTCGGACCTTCCGGTCAGTAAATTCGCGCTCTTACCACTTGAGCCATCTCGCTCCTTGTGTGCAAAAATACCAGAAAACGATTGGAAGTCACTTATTCAAATTGCGGAAGAAAATTTCAGAGTAATTTACCGATTCAGAAGGCGGAAAACTTTTATTAAGACTGACAACAAACTAAAAATACTTTAGTGACGTTTGGATCAGCCAGATGAAGGGAGATGAGAACACCTGATGTCCACCTTCTTTGAATGTGATGTTTTATCATGGATTTGCATCACCGCAAAGTTTACTGCAGATAAATTGCTAACAAAATTCCCTCTTTACAGAGGAAGTGCCCACCAGTTTTTATTGCATAACGCAGTTTGATGATGCTAGCGACGTTTTTAAAAATGTTGATCGATTGAGATAGTTGTTGGTCAGTTCATAAAATGATTATATCAAAACTGTGCACTATCAAATCGACCGTCCTCCTCTTGAAGCCCACATGTCACCTCTTTGATGATAGAGAATATGATTCAGCGTGAACGCACGGCCAAACAAACTGCTGGTCCTGAATAGACAAAGCCGAAAATGAATACGTATTTTTGTGACAATACCTTTGTATGCACCAAACAGTAGCTGTAGGTACTAAACTCTAGTATTAAGATCCCCGGTATACTACGGCAAAACCGTCAGTCAATCCAGTTCAACACATCAGTAGACGGCGTGCTAGATACCGGTTGTGTTTTTGTAGATGGTTTATAGTAAAGGTGTAAACAGCTTGAATCACACGACAGTGAGATTGGAACTTTATAATTCAGATGACCGAAATACCGTCGAATAAATCGGGTGTTCGTCAGATACAGTGTCTTCGACGTGTGATGCGAGCCAGGTGAACCCCTCAGTTCTTGAGATGGCTGTATGTGAAAGGCGGTTTCCTAAATCCAAACTCGTTATCAAACAGAAAAATGTGAACTTTCACGGTAGGTTGTACTCCAAATGAAGCCGTAGATTTTATGAATGTATAAGGCGCAGTGAGCTAACCAGGCTACGGTGTGAATTATCCTACAGGATAACTTCAAAGCTTAGAGCTTTGAGTAAACTTTGCCATTCCAATTTAGAGTAGATGTACTGGATATTAAAAGCCCCAAAATATAATTAAAACGGTTTCCAAGCATGTCATTTCTGTGAAAAGTTCCATGCTATTACTGCTGCTCCATTAAGAATAAAATCAGTGGTTTTTTATTTGCCCATCTGGTTGGTTTTTTATTTGCCCATCTGGTTGGTTTCATATTCGTTTGGACCGTTCTCCATTTCGGATGTCTTTCTTATATCCGCTTCATTCATCATACTAAACGAATTCTTTAACTTACGTTTTCCACTTCTAAGGTACAAGATGCCATATTTTTCATGCCAACAGTCTTTAGAAACAGGCACGACTTATTCCCCTGCCATTCACTGTTTGCAGCTGCTGGCATTCAAAAACGTTCCACTTCATTGCATGCTCGCCGCTTCTCAGGGAATCTGGGAATCCATAATATATTTGACAGCTACTCTGCGAGATTCAGAGCATAAGCTACATTGAATTTGTAGGATTTCCATTCATCTCATTCGAGTCGGTCGTTCAAAAACTAACGAGCTTGATGCATTTTGTTATCTGCAGCCAGGATAGGTAGCTGCTTATAAACGGTCGTGTCACACCACTTCAGTTCATTGAGAGGAATACAACGTCGTTGAACGGAGCCGACGTCACGCAACTGTGTATGTTGCTGTTTAGTTTATTTCCGTCGGTTTGTTTATCTCAACAGCTTTGCTCAATAAATTATGGCGGTCTACAATGAAATAACTATACAGCCAGTTACTGAGCACACAGCTGGTCGTCAGAATTGTCCCATATGAGAGAAATAATTTACTCCGATAAACTAGTTTCCCTCCGGTGACTTTACGTGACTTGCAAGAGACGGTCAATTCTCCCACAGTTTTTATGACGAACGAGCTGAAAGAACTATGAACACGGTAAGAAGTGTAGGTTTTTAAACCTTGGTATGTTCACGAGTGAACTGCTCCTGCTATATCTTTCTGCATCTGCTTAATTTAAGCAAAATCAATGATAAGGAGATATTTGCTAAGGCATTTATGAACAAGAAAAGAAGCGCCAAGCAAAAGTTAATATTGACAGAACGGGAAACATGGTGGAGAGTCGGAATAACAATCTCTGAGAGGACAAACGGGTGCACTTTTTAAAACTTTGCATAAATTCCCAACAATTAACGATCAGCTTCACATTTTTAAAAACATTTGCGTTAATTGAGCTATTTTTGTTTGTATTACTGACTCACGTTTAGATGAAACTGTTTCGCCTAATCTCTTCTGGTAGTCTAGTTGCCAAAATATACGCCGACTTTCACGAAACGGCGCCTTTGCCAACGTAAGATTATTGAAATATCATCCATCAATATTGAGGGTGTTGTTAGTGATCTTATTCGTAGGAACTGCCTACTGGAAACAGGGTAGCAAAATATCTCTTAAAATTAAATGTCCTATACCGGCGAAAAAACTATCTGGTCGTGATGTCCATCATCGTTTTCTTCATCCGCCCAGAATGTAAGGTAGTGATTACGTCATGTGGAGCGTTCTAGCCTTCAAACGAGTATCAAATTTGCTTGAGGGTCATTCGCCATGTGTGACAAGAGTCAGCAGGGTATTAACTTGTGATCTGAATGGAATTATCTCCATCTATAGTGCTAAATTTTCCGAAGAAAGAATCCGGCGAGATCCGGGATCGTACGAATATGATTCGGCACAAATACCAAAATAAAATGCTTGCAATCAAAATGATCGCAACCAGGAGTCCCACCTGAGGTTAGCTTAAATTTGAACGGTGCTCAAGTGGTTTTCAGATACGTCTAGGTATTGGCGTGAACTCTGACGCAGGATGAAGTAGTCATAAATGGAATAAATCGTTGTCTTTCATCTTCTTGGATGATATTACTTTTCGCAATTTTAACAGCTAAAACGTGTACTTGATTAGCAATGCATAATTTATCTAAAATAGTGCGCCAACGCCACGTTTGCTTTACGCTAATTTGATTTTCATTTGAATGCCCATGTCAGCAAAAACATGAGACTTCCTGCGAATGACAGTTCAATTAAAACATGAGGTCAAAGAAAACTAGAGGAATTTGCTTACCTGAAGAGCAACAAGAACGGTGGAGGGCGTGAGAGGTCGAAGATTTTCTATTAACCATATGGGCACTATTTCACCTAGTCCGTTGTTATCTCACGGCAAATACAAGCTATTTCAACACATGTTCAGTCATTCTACTGGAAAGTTTGCGGCTTATTGGGACAAATTACTTATAGCACTAGTTACTCACAGACATTTTTTGGATTCTCCGATTTATTACAGATGGCCAGCTTTACTTAGTGCGGATACAACGAGCTGTCAGTCCATAACCTGGAGACTACCCGAAAGATAAATCGCCTGCGTTTTCAGAGATCTTTCAGTTGACACAAGCATCCAGCCACGTATGATATAAATCCACACGCTGAAATTTAACAAGACAATGCTGATTATGCAAAGACAACCGATTATTTGCGCAGAATTTATTGGCTCAAATCAGCCATATGGTGACGATCTGCACCAGCTGTTCCGAAATGTATTTCCGAACTTCAAAGCTACAGTAGACCGAGCCCACTCATGTACGGTTCAAGTCAGTGACTGGAATAAATTGAAAAGTTGGTAATGGCTTCTCCATTTCCAATCTCACAATCTTTCTATTATGTGCAAAACATGGAGATGATTTACTTTACTTTGTTGGACTTAACAGTCCCTGCAACAACTGCACGTACTTTTTGCGCATACTGTAATTATAATGGTAACTATGCAAGACAAGTCACGCCTGCTTCGAACTGAATGGGAAGATGAGGAATGAGGTCGCTTTTATAGATAATCCTCGTCCCGAATATTACCCAAAACTCTTAAATAAACACAAATGATCCTACAAGCAAAAATATATCACTGTAACCTTATGGCTGTTTTCAAATGCAGTTGTCTAGTGTGTAACACTTCTGTCCGCTTCTTTTAGCGTAACATTACTTTGGTTGGAGGTTGATTTGTTCATTTTTCCATCGACGACTCCGGATTCTAGGAGATTTAGCTTAAACTAAAAAGTAACGAAACAGTCCAGGTGAAGTCATTGCCCTCTTTCTATCTAACATTGTCGCCAGCTGGCACGAATGTCTACCGACCGGTTCGGATTTAAAAATGACGTACACAAATTAAAATTAGACGACTTTTTAACTTAGAAAATGAGCAAATTAGCATTAATAAAAAATTTACGGCGCGCTGTGAGGAGGCTTTGGTTTTTTAAAAAGACAGCTTTGTGATTTTCTTTTCCCTTATCAGATCCGCAGACTTATGTGACTGGACAACACGAAGTTCTTATTCGCACCCACATGTGAGTTCAATACACTAGCACAGCGAGTTTTCGCCTCCAAAAAAAAGTAACCATTTGTGAGTGCTCTGAAAGAGAACCTGGGAAATGCTAGTCACCCTAATGCTAAATCTCTTGGTAAAAGTCACAAACAGAAGAATGCGCGTTAGAGACAGTAAAGTTGTCCCACAATTTTACAGCACACCAATTTCGCTGCATTTCTGTGGGTGGCTGAAATTTTTATTCTACTGGAAATGTAGTGCGTTTCTTAGTGAAAACATTTTGGTTAATGTACTTGTGGACTTTGGTACCTGCAAATGCAAACCTTTTCTTACCTTCGTACGGGAACTCATACGGGTGTGTACACTAAATTCTGTGTACAACTTAGCATTTCTGATGTAATTCAAGCGATTGTGTCATTTTCCCGTGCGAATGTTACATCACATTGCATAACTCTAACGGACCTCAGTTATTGTTTCCTTACAGAGATCCACGGAGAGTTCTTGATCGTCATCACCTTGTAAAATACTGATACGGTGAAGCGCGGTATGCAGGGAGCTTACTAAGTACGGTCTATGTTACTGGTAGATCGTTTATTTTTTCGAGTAAATTAACATTTCAAATAGAAGAACGGTTGCTAGAGAAAAGTCCAAGGAGGCTCCTAGATGCTTGCAGCCTTCTCAGTGGCTAAAACTTTATGGCCCCGGAAGAAATCAGAATACTCAACATATTTAGTCTTTTTTAAGTAAGTGTGAGGTGAAAACAAGTATCCTTTCCACCTATTATTTCCAGACGTCAAGTTTCGGTCATACGTTTTTATATAGTGTGCTCCATGATGGTTTCAGATATTTTGCTCTGAACCGAACGAGGTGATTTTTAAAAACTCACAGCACCTGTGAGGACCCAGTAGAGCCATCGTCCGACAAACGTGCAACTGTCTCCTACAAACCATCAGTCAGCCAAAATAAGATAACAAGACGGTCGGCAACATCATCAGTTAGCTGCTCGTAATCACGTCCCCAAATTCCAATTTAACTTTTAGCACGACAGAATTTTGGCTGGAATGCGGTCCTTATCACCCGGCCACGTTCCATCTAGCAGTGGTTATCCATACCATGCAGTCATTCCCTATTCGCTTGTCTTTTGAAAAAAAAAATAATAAAGCATTACAGGTGATAATGCTACCATGCAGTCATTCCCTATTCGCTTGTGTTTTGAAAAAAAAAATAATAATAAAGCATTACAGGAAGGTGATAATGCTGTTTTGATTTAGCTTTTACTTCCACCACTCATAGGCAAGCGACTGTCAACATATTTTATCTTGAGTACTCGCTCTGCTACAATAGAAATGCTTTTCAGAAACGTGAATGTTCGCTTCCCTATCTGAGCGGTTTGTAACGATCATTGTTTAAACCTGTGCCTACAAATCCCATTCTGGCTGGCCTCCGTATTAGCACTACGAGCAATCGTGGTACGGGGCGGTCTGGGGGTAAAGTCGTACTGTTCTGTGCGACAGGAGTGTGAAGGCAGTAAGGTGTTCCCCCCAGGCGACCAGCATGTCCATATTTATGGAAGCAGCGATGCTGCCTTCCCCCGAGGAAGGACGGGTTAGAAAAGGTCGGCCCCAAAACGGATGACCGTTGTGCGGTCAAAATACGGTCGAAATACTTTTAAAGCCAAAGAGCCCGGTGCTGCTCAAAAGGCATCTGCTGTGTGCAGGCGCATCAGGAATGAGACAGTAATGCCTTATCATCATCATCATCACCATCATCATGTCAGCTGTAATAACCGCGTACTCGTCGTACAGTGGTTGTAGCTGCCCCAGTTTCGCTCACCGATGTTTGGGGGGGTTAGGTACAGTGGGCTGTCAAGTGGGGGGGTGGAATAGGAGCTATGCGTTGAAGGCAATAGCTTGGATGCATCAGCGCCATTGAGGGCGCGACTGGGCCATATTTGACAATGTCTCTAGCCATTGATGTGGCCCGTCTCGGGGTCCCCATCCAGGAAGACGGCAGTGACCAACGCAGCTGATTTTGCTGGTAATGGCTTTAATACTTCGCTGCCAAGTCATTGTTTGACCGCCTCTAGCTCTCTTCCACCCTTCACGTGGTTGTGCAAAAAGAGGAAGTCGGTTCTGGAATACGCAGCACGTGGCCAAGCCAGCACAACCTATGCAGTGTGCTCAATTGATCTATCGAAAGCGAGTCATTTCTCCCAAATACCATTCGGAATACCATTCAGAATTGCTGATCCGGTGTTCCCACCAGATTCGGGCAATGCTCCAAAGACATCGATGGTCAAACACTGAAAGTCTTTTGACGTCCTCGGCGCACAGCGGCCAGGTTTCTGATCCATATAGTAATATGGAGCAGACCGCAGCATTGTAAACTCGACCCTCGACAGAGAAGCTGATGTCACGCCTACGCCACAGGTGGCGTAGGTTCGCAGAAGCTGCTCTGGCCTTCCCAATCCGGATGGAAATTTCATCTTTCATGAGACCACCGGGGCTGATACAGCTGCCCAGGTAAACAAATTTATCTACTACCTCAATCGGTTTATCCGCAAGCACGATGCTAGGGTTCGAGCCCACCCAGTCTTGCAGTAGCACTTTACACTTTGCAGGTGTGAAGCTCATGCCGAACCGCAAGGCAGAATTATTTAGATTATTTAATATTGTTTGCATTACAACGGGATCAGATCCCAGAAGAGCTATGTCGTCTGCGTACTCGACATCTGTGAGCGGAGGCCCAGGGAGCACTTCGACCCCACAGGCATTAGAGGCTGGTAGTGCGTCTTCCATGATCGTGTCAATGATGAAGTTGAAGAGGAAATGTGAACAGGACAGCCCTGTTGGACACCAGGTGGTGAACTCAGGCGAGGGATTCCAGTAGACCTTCACACGGCCGCGGGAGGGCGCTGTGTGTTTCACTGGTAGCCTTCAAATTATGTCCCAGGTTTGTTTTGAAATCAGAGGTAGATCAGAACTTGTGTCAAGTTGGAGAGTAATCGTTGTGCCTTTGGTGCATATCCTGCTGAATTTACGTCGACTGGGTGATTTCA